TTAACCTGAGTAGTTACACTTTAACAGAATTTTAAGCCACTGGAAATAAAAATTTATTAGGAGGTTTGGAAATTTCAAATTGAGGTGGTGTTGCCACCTCTATTAACAATATATGTGAAAATTCAACAGCTAGCTACAGAAAAGGAAACTCATGTATTAGAGTGTTATTATATTAATATGCATATGGAGAGAGAAAATAAAATGCTTCTTTCTCTATTTTTTTAATGAGACAGAATCATATGTTAGAATGAAAAACAGGCATATTTAAGAAATTAAATTGAACAGAAATAGGAACAACTCTGGGTTTATACATTCCCTTGACAAATCTCTCGAGTTTTTATGACTGTATAATCCAGCTCCTGTCACAGTTTTTTGCCATGGCATCTTTCAGATGATTGGTTTTGTGCATAGTTATTAGTCTGATGCTGCTAATCTCTCATTTCTGCAGGAATAAACTCAATCGCTTCTAGCTGAGTGCTTATAGTTTCTTTTAAAAGAGTGTCATTCAGGTGGCCTAATGGAAAGTGGAAGATACAGATTTAAAGATGAGGTTTGATCTTTTGTACATGCCAGGTGATCTAGAAACTGGGAAGTATATGGGTAGTATTTTCCAGTTTTATCTGGAAAATGACTAATAATATTCAAGTGTAGTACTGCCTCTTAATTAAGAAAAAGGGATTTCCTTCACCTGTATTGGTAGGGTTGGCATGTGGGCCAACCCGGTTCCCCATCTGTGGAAAGGGTGTCTTGTCCCCACAGAAGACAGGTTTGTATTGCAGAAGGGTTAGCTCCCTCTGGAGCTGCTTATTTTTCCCTGTTAATGTGTAGAGAAGGATCTAAATGATTTGTGTACATGAGGCATCCAAGTCACATGGCTACACCTAAAGGAGATGTACTCAGTGGCTGCAATAATTACCCCTCTTCCTGCAGAGATGAAGCTTACATAAACACAAATATTTTGTTTTCTTCTCAGTGCTCCCATCAACTATTAGCAGCTCAGATTTATTTCATCCTGGCTTAAGACCAAATTCTGAACAGATGTGACAATAGTTAACTTGGTCTCCAACTATGCAGGATCCTGGTGAACACTTATTCTCTCAGTATTCTCTTCAGCATTTTGTGCTTTTTGTCACAAGAAGTTCCTGACTTACCTACTAAAATTAACATAGCTCTGCAAAGTTTTCTGAACTTGCTTATAGACTTTGTCTGAGGTTTCAGCTAGGAAAAAAGTGATGGGAAGAACATATGTGAGTAAAAAGTGTGCCATTGTGAGTAAAATGCTATTTTTGAGTGTAGACAAGTGAGTATTCCTACTCATTCTAGTCTGTGACCTTTCTTTTTGCTTGTTTCTAGGCCCTGGAACCTAATTCTTCACTTTATTTCCTGTCAACAGTAAAGAATCACAAGCATTTTTGTCTTTCACCAGAAAGAAATGCTACTGCTTTTCTTCTTTTCACATTCCCTCTATAGATTATTCTTGTTTAGGATACTGTACATCAAAAACCTAAACATCTGTTCCCTTGTTGATACCAATCTTGACATCCAAGGAGTCACACTTTTTTTTCCCCGTCATCACTTTCATATTTTTTCTCAATATGGAATAGCAGTGGAGCTTCTACCACAAGAAAGTTGTGATCCCTAGTTGGGACCTCTGGGTTTAGATGTAGTTTGAAAGATTATGGCACCTTTAGACAGAAAGCAGTGTAGGACTACCTCTTGAGAGATTCTTAGTGATTCAATCTCTCAGTTAGTGTTTCATCCTTCATTCTCTAGAACACAAGACACCTGTGACAACCTTCCTTAAATCTCAATTACACAAGCTCTAACTCCACAGGCTGATGAACAGACATTGTTTCCTCTCCCTTCTCACCATGTGACCTCTGAAACACACTTTGAGAAATCACAGAGTTACAGAATCTTAGAATCAACCAGGTTGGAAAAGACTTCTGAGATCGAGTCCAGCCCCTGACCCAAGACCACCCTTTCAAATAGACCATGACACTAAGTGCCACATCCAGTCTCTTCTTAAACACCTCCAGGGACGGAGCATCCACTACCTCCCTGGGTAGCCCATTTTAATGTCTGATCACTCTCTCTGTAAAGAATTTCTTCATAATATCTAACCTAAACCTCCTCTGGCAGAGCTTAAGACCATGGCCCTCTTGTCTTGCTGATAGCTGCCTGGGAGAAAAGACCAACCCTCACCTGGCTAAAGCCTCCTTTCAGGGAGTTGTAGAGAGTGATGAGGTCTCCCCTGAGCCTCCTCTTCTCCAGGTTAAACAGCCCCAGCTCTTTCAGCGTCTCCTCATAGGACTTGTTCTCAAGTCCCTTCACCAGCCTTGTTGCCCTTCTTTGGACATTCTCCAGAACTTCAATATCCTTCCTGATCTGAGGGGCCCAGAACTGGACACAGTACTCCAGGTGTGGCCTAACTAGTGCCAAGTACAGGGGCAGAATCATTTCGCTGGACCTGCTGGCCACACTATTCCTGATCCAGGCCAGGATGCCATTGGCTTTCTTGGCCACCGAGGCACACTGCTGGCTCATGTTCAGCTTCCTGTTGATTAGAATTCCCAGGACCCTTTCTGCCTGGCTGCTCTCCAGACAGCCTATGCCCAGCCTGTAGCACTGCATGGGGTTATTGTGGCCAAAGTGCAGGATCCCTCACTTGGTCTTGTTAAACATCATACCACTGGATTTATCCCACTTATCCAGCCTGTCCAGGTCCTTCTTCAGAGCCCTCCTGCCTTCCAGCTGATCGACACTCCCCCCCAACTTAGTGTCATCTGCAAATTTGCTGATGGTAGACTCAATCCCCTCATCCAGATCATCGATAAAGATATTAAACAGACCCCAACACTGATCCCTGGGGGAAACCACCAGTGACCGGCCGCCAACTGGATGCAGCACCGTTCCCCACCACCCTCTGGGCCCAGCCCTCCAGCCAGTTCCTAACAGAACTGAATGCCACAGAGTGCCCCTGTCCAAGCTGTGGGCTGCCAGCTTTTCCAGGAGTGTGCCATGGGAGATGGTGTCAAAGGCTTTGCTGAAGTCCAGGTAGACACATCCACAGCCTTCCCTTCATCCACCAGGCGGGTCACCTGATCATAAAAGGAGATCAGATTGGTCAGACAGGACCTGCCCTTCCTAAACTTGTGTTGTCTAGGTCCGATGCCCTGTCTGTCCTGTAGGTGCTGTGTGATCACACTTAAGATGATCTGTTCTATAATGTTGCCAGGCACCAAGGTCAGGCTGACAGACCTGTAGTTTCCTGGGTCTTCGTTACGGCCCTTCTTGTGGATGGGCATCACATTAGTCAGCTTCCAGTCATCTGGGACCTACCCCGTGAGCCAGCCTGGTGATAAATGATAGAGAGCAGCTTGGTGAGCTCTTCTGCCAGTTCCCTTATCACCCTAGGATGGATCCCATCTTGTCCCGTAGACTTGTGAGGATCCAAGTGGCTCAGCAGGTCACTGACTTCTTCCTCTTGGATAACAGTGGGACTATTTGGCTCCCTGTCGCTGTCTACCAGCCCAGGAAGCCAGTTGTCCTGAGGACAACCTGTCTTCTTGTTGAAAACTGAGGCAAAGAAGGTGTTAAGTACCTCAGCCTCATCCTTGTTTTTGGTAACTCTGTTCCCCTCCATGTCCAAAAGAGATTGAAGGTTTTCCTTGCCCCTCCTTTTGCTGTTGATGTATTTACAAAACCACTTTTTGTTGTCCTTAACAGAAGTGGACAGATGAAGTTCAAATTGTGCTTTTGCTTCTCTAATTTTCTTTCTACATGACCTAACTACATTCCTTAACCCTTCATGAGTTGCCTTGCCCTTTTTTCCACAGACTCTCTTTTTTTCCCTAATTTCCTGCAAAATCTCCCTGTTCAACCAGGTCAGTTGTCTTCCCCACCAGCTTGCCTTTCAGCACATAGGGACAGTCTGCTCCTGCACCTTCAAGATTTCTTTCTTGAAGTATGTCCATTCTTCCTGGACCCCTTTGTTTTTACGGGCTGCTTCCCAAGGTACTCTCCAAACCAGCCTCCTGAATAGGCCAAAATCTGCCCTCCAGAAGTCCAGGGTAGATGTCTTTCCTCGCTTCACTGAGTATTGAAAACTCTATAATTTCATGGTCACTGTGCCCCAGACAGCTTCTGACCACCACATCTCTGATCAGCCCTTCTCTCTTTGTAAACAGCAGGTCTAAAGCAGCCCCAGCCCTGGTAGGTTCATTTATCATCTGCAATAGGAAATTATCCTCCATACACTCTAGGAATCTCCTAGACTGCCTCTTCTCTGCTGTGTGGAGTTCCCAGCAGACATCCAGCAGGTTAAAGTCGCCCACAAGAACAAGGGCTGGCGATTTTGAAACCTCTGCCAGTTGTTTGTAGAATAATTCATCTATAACAGACTCCCACCAGGATGTCAGCCTTGCTGGCCTTTCCCCTGATTCTGACCCATAAGCACTCAACCTTATCGTCACTGGCTTCAAGTTCTACAGAGTCAAGAGAGTCTCTAACATATAGAGCCACCCCTCCACCTCTCCCACCTTGCCTATCTCTTCTGAAGAGCATGCAGTCATCCATTGCAGGATTCCAGTCATGCGAGTCATCCCACCACGTTTCCTTGATGGTGACTACATTATAGCTTTCCTGCTGCACGATGGCTTCCAGCTCCTCTAGTTTGTTACCCACACTGCATGCATTGGTGTACATGCACTTCAGCTGGGCTGCTGATTTCACTTCTAACTCTGGCTTTCCGCTCTTAGGCTCTTCTCTGGAGAGCCTGGCTTCAATCCCTTCCCCCTTCAAATCAAGTTTTAAGCCCTCTTGATCAGCCCCGACAACTTATACACTAGGGTTCTTTTGTCCTTGCTAGATAGATGAAGCCCATCCAACTCTAACAGGCTTGGTACCATAAGTTTTGACCCATGATCAAAAAAAAAAAAATTCCGCTGGTGGCAGCAATCCTTTAGCCACCTATTGATAGAATGCGTTTTCCTAGTACTCTATTCATTCATCCCTGCTACTGCAGGAACTGAGGCAAACACCACCTGTGCTGCTGTCCCATCAACTAATTGACCCAAAGCCTTAAAGTCCTTTTTAATTGCCCTGGTACCTCTTTTATCGATCTCATCACTGCCAACCTGTATCATCAAGAATGGGTAATAATCAGAGGGCCGAATTAGCTCCGTGAGTCTCCTGTAACATCCCTCTCACCGGCCCCAGGAAGGCAGCAGACTTCCCTGTGGGATGGGTCTGGTTGGCATACAGGGCCCTCAGTTCCCCTCAGAAGGAAATCACTGACTACAACTACCCTTCTTTTTTTTGTTAAGAGCTGCAGTTGTGATCTGTCTGACAGATGGAGTGCGACCCAGAGACCCTCCAGACAGATCTTTTTCTTGAATGTCATCTGCCTGACTCTCTAGGTCCAGAGCCTCATATCTATTCTTTAAGGACACGTGGGAAGGTGATGGGGGTCAGGAGGGGATTCTTTTACCTTTATGACCAAGGACCTGTTTCGATTCCCCCCCATCTACTTGGTCTGTTCCATCTGCCTGATGGCAAGAGGGGCAGGGCTTCTCTGACTCCTCCTGAAGTTCTTTTGGAGTTGAAAGGGTGCGACTCCACCAGTCTATTTCCCTTTCACTTTCCCCAGTATGCCTTTGCCCCTCTACTTCTTCCTTAAGCTCTGCCACTATACAGAGCAAATCGTTTGCCTGACCGCACCGTATGCGGGTGTCTTTCGCACTGTCCTCTGGTGCTAATGCCAGGTTCAGACACTCTTACAGTCAGTGACCTGGACAGCTGCATCCTTCTTGGGGAGTTCTGTCTGGGTTAGAACACTCCTGCTGGCAGCAGCAGAAACGGCTTTTTATCATTTGGAAACCATTGCTGGATCTAGTTGAAGTGGAGAGGAAAAAGAAAACCAAAACAAAACAACCAAACCAAACCAAAACCCCATAAAACAAACCCACCACCAAACAAAACCACACACACCTACCACACAACCCACCATCAAGAGCCAGGAGAGTGACTATGCCCTTTGTTCCTCAGGAGAAAGGCATTCTCCCAGGTTATCCTGGGTTTTGTTTGAAATATGGCAGCAAAGAGGGAATGATTTCTTTTCACTTTCTCCTGAGGAGTTATACAAAAACAGGAACCACTTATAGGCGTAGTTTTCTTAAGATACTTCCCACCTTACTTTCCCTCAAGGATCTCTTTGTCCACTACTTGTCTTCTCATATGCAAAATGAGAAAGAAGGGCTGTCTGTGCCTGATTCATTTTTTGAGGTATCTGCCACATCAGTGTAATAAATAAACATAAAGTTTACGTCCTTAAGATGAGAAATCAATCCACAGAGGCAACTTTTAGATATTTCATCTAGAATAAGAATCCAAGAGGGAGGAAGATTAGGTGAAATGGAGAAGTGAAGAACTTGGCTGTCACCTTGCCTCGTGTTTGTTAATTGAATATAATTGCAAGAAGAGGCAGCATTCAGCTTCAGAGTTCTTTCTGTGTGGAAAGCAAAGGTGAATCCCCTGATTCACTACAAAAACTCTGTCCTTTATTTCATTTGGATTATTGATTTCTCTGACATATTTTAAGCATCTCTTTGTAGCTGCTGCTTTTTTCCATCCCGGACTCTGCCTGCCCTCCTCTGGTCTTTCCACACCTTCACAGGCAAAGAATTGAAACGCTGAAATATCTGAAAAACAAAAAATGTTGGAAGAAGACAGGAAGAAGATGGGAATAAAAAGGAAACTGGTTAAGGTAGTAATGCTGAATGTAATGCCTGCCTTTATCTTAGTATAACTCATGACGAATGACTTTGTGTGGGCGAGATTTTTACTTCAGGAAAGAACAGTGAATGCACACTTCTTGAGTCATGGTAAAGTAGATTTTTAGATTACCTTTATAAATTTTTAGATGCATGTGAAATTTTAGGATTCAGAGGTTTGTAGAAAAATAAAAATCAAACAACAATGTTTGCATGAAATCATGGGAGAGAATTGTTCTTTAATTGTGATGTTTTCTCCTTCTCCCACAAGTTACAGGTAATTTTAAAAATTCTACTGGCAATATACAGAGAAAATATCTTCTCAAGTTTGTCAGTAAATTTCTTAATTTTTGTTTCTGTTCTTCCTGACCATACAATGTAGCTGAGCAGTTAAAGAGCAAGAGAGAAAGAATGAAATGTCCACAACAGTGGACTTCTGCTGGGAAGCTCCCATCTGACTTGTGATGGCAAATGACATTTCAAAGTAATCCGTGCCTGGAATGGAC